TACCGTTAACAATGGATGCTAATGATCTAATGAGAAATCTTTTGTTAAATGGTACTAACATTGCCGCAATGTCGTAAGGTGTAAACGAAGAATAGGCTATCTGTAGAGAATAGAGACAAGGAGGGATGAAACTCTAGTCGGACCTTTCAGACAAAGTTGCTTTTAAAAATTCATGAAATGTCTTGTAAGCTTTAAACCTCAAAATCCCAAAGCTTGGAAAGATTGCTCAAAATATACTTGATATCGTTATTATTTAACTTCATAATAATAAAAAACTAGTTAATAATACAAGCAACGAACGCAGCGATTTCAATTAAATTTGTGACTTCTGTTTATCTTTGCATGTTAGATGATTAAGGCTTCTTCAGTTTTGAACTGAAGAATTTAAATAACGACCATTTCTTTAAAACTCATCGTAGTGATAAGTTTGGGTTGAGCGCCAGGGTGCGAGGGGTGTGATCGCGCGCGCCTGAGTAACCAGCGCGTTCACAGAGGTGACCACACAAAGGCGGCAGAGCTTGTAGCTGATAAGAGAAAATAGTCATGGAGTCAACTGCTGCATACTTCACGTTCAAGTAGATGTCTTCTTTCGACTGTTCGATCCCAACTCTTTTCAGCCTCAGGTACCCACACAGCAGGGCAAAAGAACCATTTATGTTACACCATGTTTAACATAGGGAGCGCGTACAGCTATGATGATGATAATAATAATAATAATGATAATGATGATAATGATGATGATGATGTTGATGATGATAATAATAATGATAATACTAATAATATTTTTGTTTACCCTTTACCGATCGGTTGGACACGATAGAACAGCTGGTATGAACCGGTGATCAGCAATATAAAATCTATGAAAATCTAAATAAAATCTATACTAAAATCTGCGATTAAGATCCTAAAAGTATAAATATRAGAAAAGGGAAAAATAAGTATAATACTATACATATATACACAGAAACACACAAAAAAACCGCGCCCACTAAATATATATTTAATAATGTATATAACGTAACGTAACAAGTTACGTTATAGCCAACGTAACAACGTTACCCTTAATCGATAAATGATAAATGGAATTGGACAAAACAAGTTCGCAAACAACAAAGTTTCCATTCGCGGGTAAACGGAAGCACTAGCCTGTATCTTTCCCATCTGGGGGACAAAACTGGAAGAACTTCCTTTGTCAAATAGCGTACGACAGACGCGAAGAAGAACCGTGAGGACTGCAGTAGATCCCCGGGATCGGCGTGGGTGATGGGACAGCCACCTTGCAGACCTCAACTCCTGCCAACGCAAACGAGTTCAGGCGTCAACGATTGGGTTTTGAATCATTACAATTTTAGGACCCCTTTTGTTCTTATTATACATCAATGACTTACCTAAGGCCCCGTCCACACATATCCGCAAATGTTTGTGTCCGCAAATTTTTTTTTGCGAATACGGGTTGCGTCCACACGTGTCCGCAAATTTTTGTGTCCGTATCCGCAAATTTTACGAAAACGGATACGTTTGGACGGTGAAAACGATTCGAATACGCTGCGTGTGGACGCAAACATTTTCGTACCCGCAAAAAATAATTTGCGGATACAAAAATTTSCGGATACKTGTGGACGGGGCCTAAATGTCTGACTTATTCTGAGCCACGAATGTATACTGACGATACAAGCATAACATTTACTMGCAAAGATATCAGTCAAATTAATGAATGCGTAAGGCCTAGGGCAAACGTGGAACTTTCCATTCACCGAACTCATCAAAAACAATGGATATCAGGTGATAATGAGGCGGCATTTTTTGATGTAATTAAGTTCGGTGCATGGAAAGTTCCACGTTTGCCCTAGGCCTAAGTTAACTCTTAATATCCCTTTTGATTGGGGGATTTTTTTATTCGCGTAATGTGATTGGTCGGACAGTGCCGTGACATTGGCGTGACCGTGTCCGCGCCGTGTTTCGGACATTTGATTGGATGAATAGTAAATTCTCGAGCAGAGGAGGGGGAGGGGGAGGGGGAGGGGGGAAGGAAGGCCTGACACAAATGCATTCATTGGCTCGTGTCAAACATCCAGATTCTCAATGTTTCACTGATTGGGTAATTAAACAAAAGAACATTATCCGAAATTTCTTTTAAAATTATGTATGCAGACTACAAATACTTATAAATATAAATACTAACTAGGTGAAATTATATATAACTAAATTTAAAATATCCGGATATATTTAATTTCACCTAGTTAGTATTTACATTTATTAATTTACTTTTTATTATATTATTACATTACGTTCGTATTTATATACCCGTATAGCTAATATAATGTAAAACCCCCCCCCCCCCCCCCCCCCCCCCCAGTTTGTGTTCGTAGATAAATACTCATATTTGTTTTCCTTATATATGCTTTATCACAATAAGATCACTTATGTGGGTTGTCACCGATATGTGTTTGTAAATGGATTTTCAACGACGTTTTCCTAGCAAATGCTTTATCACAATACGAGCATTTATATGGCTTTTCACCGGTATGTGTTCTTAGATGATCATTGAGATGATTTTTCTGTGAAAATGCTCTATCACAATACGAACACTCATATGGCTTTTCAYAGGTATGTGTTCTTAGGTGGCGATTGAGATCACCTTTTTGTGCAAATGCTTTATCACAATACGAACATTTATATGGCTTCTCTCCGGTATGTGTTCGTAGATGGATTTTCAATTTTGTTTTCGTAGTAAATGCTTTATCACAAGAGGAACATTCAAATGGCTTTTCGCCCCCCGTATTTGTTCGTAGTTGGGTATTTAATGCTGCTTTCTCTGCAAATGCCTTATCACAATACCAATATTCGAATGGCTTTTCACCTGTATGTAATAGTAAGTGGCATTTGAGAGACGCATTCTGTGTAAATGCTTTATCACAATACGAACATTTATATGGCTTTTCACCGGTATGTGTTCGTACATGAACAACAAGGTTAGCTTTCCACTTAAATGTTTTACTGCAGTAAGAGCAGTCATAAGTCTTGGTATCACTTTCGTGCTGGGGTTGTACATTTTGCACAATCTCCTTTTCTATTATCTTGGTAACTATGGTACTCAATGACTCATCCATCTCATAGTCTTCACTAACTTCATCAAGGTTCTTGTCAACATCAGTGTTATTGAACGTGTTCTGCTCATTGACATCACTAGCATCATCATCATCGCTTACTTCCTCTTTTATTTTGTTGCTTTCGATCTCTCTATTTTCCATTTGTCGTTCATTGTCCACATACATTGAGGTACATTGATTGACACAKCCGTAGTCTTCAGTCTGTGTAGCCACACTGCACAGTTCATTTCGTACATCTGGTACATCATTGGTCTGTACTCTGAGGATGCTGTTCTAGATTGACAACAAGTATAAAAAAATTAGAATCATGTTCCTGCTACATAACAATATCTGAAAGCTTATGCTTATTTCCATTGCCTTAATGACCTCAGTTTCTAAAGGACAGTCCATACTTATAACGCATAGATATAACGCGCCCTCTGATTGGTCAATTACCGTTTTATATAGATTTAGATTTAGATTAGATYTATTTATTAACCTCCTTAGTATAGATAAACCGTCTTTCGGATGTTGGCTAATAAATTAATGTTTTACATATATACAATGCTACATACATTTTTAGCATATACATATATATATATATATATATGTACAAGAAAAGTGACATACAAAATATATTTAGTTAACACAAAATCTGTATCTGGTCGTAAATAATATAAGTTGTAAATAATATAAGTGATCAAGTGATGCTGTTGTTTCTCAACATATAAATCAACATAGATCGTGAGAATGTGATGTCAGCTGCGCGYGCAATGTTTTGTTTGTTTCTTATGTTTTATATTATTTCTTTTGAGTTAATCGTTAGTTATATCTTAGTTATTTTATAAAAGAGATAGAAAACTCCCCTTGCTTGTGCTACATTGAGTTATACAAGCACTTGGGAAATTGCGTGAGCCCTCGAGAAGTGCCAAGAACCACTCACCTATGGCTTGTGTTCTCCTAGCACTTCTCTCGGACTCATGCAATTTCCCGCGTGCTTGTATAACTCAACATAGCATGCGTGCTCTTTTTCTATCTCTTCATTATAGTACATGAATACTTTATAAAGATCAAAACAAAACACAGCA